TGACCTCTTGCAATACAATGACGCTGCCTGATCACTGCTCGCCTTCCCATTTAAGTTAGAGCACCGACCTTGATACCGATTGAAGTTGACATTGCTGACGCTACCGGGCTGAGACCCCTCTTCATACCTCCCTTACTGAGGACCACAGTAAAGACGAGCAAGCCGAACTATAGGAAGGCCCCGAGTATGCTGTCGGGGAATTTGGGCGACTTGTGAGGACTCTAACCGCGAGGTGGCATGGCGCCAAGGTTGCCATGTTCGCCCGCCTGTGGAACGAAGTTTGTAAGAGGATGGAGAGGACTCAGTGGTGGATGGCCACCTTATCGTGGCCTCCTCCCACTTGGAGATGACACTACGCATACGCGGATGGAGATTAACAGACGGTCCATTAGGATGACTATCTGGTCTCAAATTCTGACGGCCGTACCTCACTCCCAGTGGTGGTTAGCCCAGTAAACATCGGCTTGCCGATCGACAATCCTAACCACATAAACAATTTCCGAGCCATATGTGACCCCAATGTCCATGTTTGGAATGGTAAGTGGGGTTGTTGGGTCTCCTTCCCAGGTTACTTGTAGGTTCGGGTATGGTTTGTGATAATTTTATAGGCACTTGTATAGATCAGCAATCAACGCAATTGTATAGTCGCCAATAATAAAACACTCTGAATCCTAAAACTGTAGACATCCGAGATAGAAGCCGCTCAAACCTCAGGCGCTTCAAGCTTGTGGTGACTAGTCAATGAGCTTAGTGCGAGTGAAACTGTTCTTCCAGAATATTGGTATTCGCGGCTATCAGTTGAAATTCATGCCTGAACGAAATAATTCGTGCTCTGCAAATAAAGCTCCCTGGCTAATTTTGCGGCGCTACCATGTTATGTCAAGACTGAGAGCAACAACAGTTTTGAGGCTGCTGCTGGAGGGTTCTAGCAGGAGTGTCAAGATCTGATAGTGAAATTGGTTTACTTGCACTCTCACTATTATGTAAGTGAGTCTTTGATATATATCTGGTGCACTTATTGGTGGCTGCCAACTAAAGCCTACGTTGTTGACAAAACCCATCAGTTGTGATTTTAGAGTTACCCATTTTGTAGCTTTTGGCCCGCGTGTTAACTCTCAACTCCGTGCGTGTTGTTTCATATTTTGAAATAATGCTTCAAAAGTCAACTTGATGTGCAGTTACGAAAGATCAAATTAAAATCTTCAGGGAGTCAGGTCCTGAGCTTGCCCCAGTTGGAGGCTTCTTGTCAGTAATTGGGTCATTCGCTGTTGTCTTATCTATAGAATGCTATCGACTATAACCAAGCGTCTTAAGAGGGAGGGAGCTAGTTAAAGTCATGGACGAAAGTACACGTTGTCCCTATCTTTCAACCCGCCTTCTGTGCTAGTGACCCCTCACAAGGTAACCAGCACACCAACTACATGTGATCGCTCAAACAACTTATGCATCGCACCAGCGGTTATTAAGCAAAGGATGGAGTGTGGTGCTTAGCTTGTGACAGCTCAATCTGTAGTTGAACTTGTTTCACAAGAGCCACACGCTCTTGAGGCGAAAACGCAAGCTGATTATTCATATGTAGAATAGGCTTTGATCAAGTTGTTTTATTAGTAGGCTAACTAGTCCTATTTATGATAATGTTAACAATGGCTCCTATTTCAGTGTAGCGCGTTTGTCGTGCGTACATGTATTTCACTTATTCAGAGACATTCTACAATGTCCCATTGTCTTGAATAAGTAAACATATACTGAAATAGGCTTCATTGTTCAACAGAGTAAACACAACAGGCACTGTAGTAGGATTCACTGTTCAACACAATCAATAAATCTTGAGTTTCGCTAGACGACCTGCATATAATGCTCTGCATCAGACCGTAGAAATCACTTCGTTTGTAGTCGCCAGGCAACATGAAGCTCGTCAGTCCTGAAGAAACAAATTGTTATGATTGTAGTAACAACAAATCCACTTCTTACAACCACTTGTAGAAAAGTTTTTAAGTTGTTCATTCAACTTATTACATCCTGCATATAATGCACCGCGCAGCTCGTCAAAAACGTCGGCTAATTATTTCAAAAAATAAACAAAAAAACTTTTTCAATTTATTTTCATCTCAATTTGAAGAATCCGAGTACTATTTGAAACGTATTACACTTGTGTGAATGATAACAAGGCATCAGCATCAGTCAACTCGTCTCACGAACATTTTCAGCTTCACCTGACGATTCTCACACTACAGTCAGGATGTACTTGCAAACTCACCTGGAGTCTTCACAACTGGCTCAGGATCCCATATAACATCATTAGACTTATGTAGCCAACACTTAGGCGTGTTACCTTTACAACCCTGATAAAATTCGAAACTAACCAGCAATTTGTGATTGATATCAATGTGGTTTTCATGTGTACTGCATACAACAACACATCTTGCAGGTAATACAAATGGTTGTTTAAACAGCTCCAGATGTTACAAGATTTTACCCAGACGGCCATCAGCATTATACATAATGCCAGTATCACTTAAGAAGCAAAACGACCAATTTATCGCCTTTAGAACACTGAAAATCTTACCACTGCCCAAACCACTTCATATTGTACAGGAACTTGCCCAAAAACACCTCACTTATACTTTCGGGGCCAAAGAATTTTATGAAATAGCCAGATTTATATTATCGATCTTTCCTGATTTTATAGAATTTTTTTTAGGAATTTCGAGAAAATTCAAAAAAAATCCAATTTACCCTTCAATACACTAATTGAATCCTGTAAAATACAGTGATGCTACTCAATTGGTTTCTAGATTGAACCTTTCTTAATTCCAGCATGGATATGCATGTTGGTTTTTGTTACCAGTCCGGATACCATGTACAGGACTGAGTGACAATATACAGGACATCCAGTATATTGACATAGAACAACCCATGTAAACGGGGTGGTCAAATATATGGAGTAAGAGGAGGACATAGGTACTATGCACCCAGGGAGTGAACCCTTAGGATGACATCACGCATCGAAGGGTTAACAACCTGGCTTTTATCTCAAGGACGCGGCTGTGTGTAGTCTGGTTTGGGTATAAGCTCGGAGGATAGGGAGCGTGCGTAATGCTGCGTGATGCGGAGATCGATCGCGAGATCCTAGCCAGGGACTTGGCGGAGAAAGTGGTCGCCGTAAATGGACCCAGTGGCACACCACACGTTAGCATAGGAATGCAAGCTGACTTCCCAGGCCCCAATAGCTCTAAAACTCATGGACTTTCCCCCGTATTTGAAACTAGTTGCCAGTGCGACCCCCCGCCTGATATTGGTCGACTCTCCCCCACGAGCCAGCCCTCTCCCCAAACACGACCACCGACTGTTCGACATTAAAAAAGATAGAAGTTGAGTGTCAGCGTTGTCCCACTATGTCCTATAGAAGTCCATATACTAGATATAAGGTGGCAAATAAACATCGATGCACAAACCATCATTCCTGCTACTCCCTCAGCTAGGTGCGCCGAGCGTGTCGCTACCGCTCCTTAGACAAAGCCGAGAGGCCACGGGCTTGGAGGACGGAGTCTACGACGCGGTCCACCAAATAGGTTTCGTTGCCAAATGTCTGCGCACCATTATGACTTTCGGTAAGCAGTGGGGGTACCGTCCCACGAGCCCCTCAATGGCAGAGGGAAAGTTTTGGGAGGTTATGTTATGGCGCGCCACAGACGCTGCACGCGACCCCATAAAAGCGGCCAGACTGGCTCCAAGAGCATCTACCTCCATGACATTCCCATCAGTAGATATATTTTGTGTTGAAGTATGTGCATAACCCTTGCCATGTATAATGGGTCTACCAGCGTGTCAGTCAAAAGCATCCATTACTATTCAAATCCCCTCATTATCCCTCTTTTTGAAGACAAGATCATGTACATTTTAGCGCCAGGCTCGATCTTGGCTTCCTGCATCGTGAGGTCGTCGTTGAGGTTGTTGCCGTGATAGATGAGCTTCTGCTGCGACGGGTAGATGTCTTACCTTTTCTCAAGCAACTTCTTGATGCGCATGATCTTGTCGGTAGGCTCGACGTTGACCCGGACGTTGCGCCCACTAAAGGTCTGGATCAGGATTCGCATTGGTGTTGAAGTGGGAGGAGCGTGTGGGTGGCACTTTATATAGCTCACATGCCAGCAAATGTGCTGAAATTACTGCTTACGTGATATCCGCTCGTTGTATTAGGCGAGATAACTACTTAGTTGACCGCGTTTCATTCTCGCGACTCTCGGTGTGCCACGGCCTCAAGTGTAGGATTCCGCTGAAGACCTGTTTATGCTCCTAGACTGCCTTAAATAAAAGCGCCGGTGACATTACTGATGCTGCTAGACAAGTTGGAACGTCTCATAGTCAAAGGTTGCATTAGAATTACCCGGGCTGGTGTTGACGCCTTAATTCTGGGCAGAGCACCGCTTACCTTCATTGACATACGCCAGTGCAAGCACGTCAATGTATACCCCGAAGGAGTTCCGGCACAAACCCTCAACATTAACCCTCAGACCCGTCTGGCATTCGTTAAAGCTGGACCTTACCACAACGTGATTGAAATTGCGTTATGAGTTATTTATTAACGATGTATTATATTTATAGACTAATGAGATATGACATTATGAGATTTCTACAAGCTGAATCCAATTCACTTCCTGAGGGTCGTGTTCCATTGCGGTTTCAGCACTCAATGTGCTGTGCAATCGGCTCTAGATTCGTGGTGGTTGTCAGCTTTCTCCACAACCATATTTTCACCTCGGGTTAAGCCATACGCGTGACACATTGCAGAAGAATAAAACCAACGGTCAAGCGCTAGTAGAGGCGTTCAAAATGCTACCCTTTACTGGGCATTTGGTTTCTGGTGCCTTGAACTAAAGTGAGACTAACGAATCGAAAGTTGTGGGGCGCTAGGACGACGAATTCTGGCAGTTAGAGCTTGCCTGGCTGTTTGATATTGGTGATCAGCGTATCATTATGTTCATTAGTATACATGCAAACTACTGGTGGCTGCGTACGGCCACGCAATACTTATCGGCGATGCGGGTCGCCTCGTACGTCCCTTCAAGGCTGGCCTTCACCACGTACTCACGCTCCCAGATATCATCAACCTCAATAGTCTCGAGCACTGTTGGTGGCACCCCCAGACGAGTGGCCACGGTGGTACGAATATAGGTGAGACTGAACGGCGGCTCCCCTTGGAACGAGAACCTAAGCTCGGTGTACTCGCCCTCGTGGATATCCTCGACGATGTAGTCCCCCTTTTGCACCTTGACCGAGGGGATCTCGTGCACTTCCAACTCAAGCAACTTTTGCTCGTCTCCAACAAACTCCACCGCACACTGGTTGGGCGACGAGTCCTGAAGACGTGTCATCGATAAAATCCCGGCTTCGCTCGCCAAACGGCGGAAATGGTGTTCCAGCGACGCCTGGCGCTGCTTACCGGCAAACGTGTAATCAAGAGTGAACGGAGCCGTCCCGGTAAGGTTATAGGCTACGTGGTCACCGACACAGAAGTGATAGCGGTCGCTGGCTTTCACCATCAGAGGCACAGGAGTAACGTTGATGGTGTATGTTACCAGTTGAGGCAGAGCAAACGAGTCGCGGAAACACCCGTTGGCACCTCTGATGCTCTTGATTTCCACCGTATGGGTCCCGAGAGTAAGCGAGTCCGTTAACTGTGAGGGCGGAAGCTCGAGGAAACCACCCACCACATCATTGAAATGAAGCGGGACTTGGACTCCCGTAGCCTGGTGAGTAAGCACAGCTTCCACCGTGAACGGAGGCACGCCCACCAAATTGATGGGAAGCAAGTGGCCGGCGTAGCGCTTCACTTGGTTCTCGCATACCGCCAACAGCAGCTCGGCAAACGAGACATCGGGTTTGCCCGCCACTGAGTAGGCGGCAGTAATGTCGACGGTGTCCACTTGCGACTTGCCCCGTTTATAGTTATTGTCCCACACTTTGGTAATCGAAAGTTTGTAGTCGCCGTTTTCATTAGTGGGAAGCTCAATCTTTTCGGTGTGACCCAAAATTCTCTGCACGCGGGTCTCCACTTCACCCAGGGCAAGCTGTAACTGATAGTCGAGGGTGAACGGCGGCACCCCGTAAAACGTAAGTTCGAGGGGCTGAAATGCGTCCTCACACACCAGCTTAAGCACCACCAGCTCGTTGAGACGCTCGATCTCGTGAGGGCTGGCAATAGACACTGTAGGTTTAGGGAAGAACGAGACTTTCACCGTTTGCTCGTTGTTGACAATACGACCGGAACAGCCGCCGTTTTCAAACAGCACAAGTTGGTAAATCCCTTGTTCCTTGGCCACCAACGCCTCCATCGACAGCACTTGAAGCTGGCGGATAAACTTGGGCGGGTCGTTGGCCCCATCGATGAGTTTGAACCGCACCTTATCCTTCTTCGAGGGACCAGTGGACAGTTGCCACTTGAGCGGGATTCTTACCGACGTCCCTTCAGCAATAGTGTACTCCTTAGCCTCAGCAAATTCGAGGGTAGGGATATCAGTGCGAGCAACGACGGTGACACTAGCCTGAGGGTCGACATCAGCCTTGCAGTGGAACTTATCCTGGGCAGCTTCGAGGAATATTTTGGCCTTAGGAGTGTTTCTCAAGAGCTTTCTCGGGACATCCACAACGTGGGTGTCGCCGTCGACAGTGGCATTGGTCACACGCGACACCACTGACCCGGTAGCGGCATTGACGATGTTATAAGTGACGTAGTAAGGGCCGTTACCCGAAAAGCGAATGGGCACTTGAGTAGACTCGTTGTAGCACAAGTGAATCACCGATGGCCCGGTGAGTTCAGCCCGCGATACTTGGTTGAAGTAAGTGCCATACGTCAAATTGCCATCGAGAGTAATCGGAGCGTGGAGACTGTCCTTGATGCTAGAGAAGCTCACCACGTAGTTTCCGCCTCTCTCGGGACGGAACTCAAGCTTATCATGCGTAGACGATGTGGTGAGACGGTGGACACCACCCTCGGAACCGACGGGGACTAAACGTCCCAGCTGGTTGCGGTACACGTGGTACTCGACGACAAACGGCGCCTTGCCGGCAAGTTCAAAGCCGAAGTTGTAGCCGATGGTGCCGAGACACACGTCCTTGATGGGAGTGGCGACAATATCCACAGTGGGCGGTTTGGCTAAAGTGACGTTGACGGCATCTTGGGTGTCAACATCGGCGCCGCACCACTTGTTAAGGCCGCTAGCAAGTTTGTAGATGCCGGGTTTGCCGATGGTGATGCCCTGTTTGAGTTCGTAGGCGTTGGCAAACGTATAAGTGTGGTTTTCGCGAGATTGGTTGAGTGATTGGTGGAGCACTGTCACCGACAACGGGAACTCCAGCAGCTGGGGAGTGGGGTCCACTTTGACGCCGAGCCTCTTGGTACCGCCAGTAACAAGCTCGACGTCAGCGTTGGCGTCAAATAACGAGAATTGAGGTGCCCGCTTCAACTCATACTCAAACCATAAGTCTTTACCCTTGTAGTCAGGGTTGTACCGCTGACTGTGGCCCAAGCCGTCGTGGATGCTCATGATGTGAAACCCGACCTTAGTGGCGTGCTTAGACCCCAAAATGGCGGCAAAATCCACGCCGTCATCCTTCAGCACCGGGTACTGGGCGGCAAATACCGGGGCCAACCACAGCTTATCGTTCGCCTCGTGGTTCGCCGCTCCCAGCTTGATGGTGACGGTCTTTTGCGGGGTATTTTCTGAGGAAATCTTCACGGTGGCCGTCATCGGTGCCACCCCCACCATCTCCACTAACGGGAGTTCAACGCCGTCAGCTTCAAACTGAGTGCCCACACACTGGTAGGGGGACATCGCCGGGTACACGTAGCTGGCGTAGGGGCAGTTGCTGATGGTGAAGTGGCCGCGGTACACTCGAATCGGGTTAAGCTTGTGGTCCCACACTCGGGTCAAACGGTACTGTCCCACTTTCAGCACGGGGACTTCGACATAAGTCACCCTTTCACTATCTTTAAATTTAGGTTGTGAGCGTAAATGGGTGTAGTCATGGTTCAAAAGCTGTTTGAGTCGGCGACCGGTATAATTGGTGTAGCGAGGTACATTATCCGGTCCAACGTGTTCGATCTCGAACGTACCCACGGTAGTAGTGGTGTTAAATTCAATGGGTACTTTCACCGGGTTTTTAGCCGTGTCGAAACAGCTCAGCAAGTTGAACGGGTTGAATTTCGCCAGTGAATCGGGTAAATAGTTGATGGTGAGTCGCCCCAAGAAATGGGCGTCGTAGTCGACAACCTCGCCTCTAACGGTATCCCCTTCGATCAGCAAGTCTCCCTGGTGGCTCAAGTGACGCCAAAGAGCTCCCACCGACGCCACAAGCGGCATGTGCACCAGCAGCGCCAAGAGCCACGTCGCCAGGATCAGCGCCGCCACCGCCGCCACCGCCTGGAGCCACGAAAGATAGAGGCCGTCGATGCTTAGTAAGCGGACCGCCATCACAAACACGGTGTCGACCACGGCGTACTTGGCAACAAACCCCGGCGCGTTAACATCAGTAGTGGGGGTAGCCTCGGCGTGGTGGTAGACGAGGTCGTACACCTTCCACAGCTGGTAGAGAAAGAAGAGCGCCATCACCGTTTGTTTCTGGGTGTGCTCGTCGACAAGCCACGTCGGGACCAACGGGCGTCGCCGCCGTCGGTCGTCGGTCGTCATTTGTTGTGGTCTTGGTATATGGTGTTGGTGCGCGCCGCGATGAGGCCCTAGTGGAGTAAGCCAGTCAACAACTACGATAAAAGCAGGGACTACAGAATAGAGAATTGAATCTTTTGAAAGATGTAGCACAATTTAGAGAGAATAGTATACAAATTCATTATTTGTTGAGGTTGATTCAGTGGAGTATGCCAGTACAAATACACTATTTACTAGAAGCGTGAGGCTAACTGGCGAGAGGTCAATTGGGGCAAGTTTAAGATAGTAAGAGCTATTGAAGTCGATTTGGATCTACGATGGTGCTTGGAATCTGATCGCAATTATTATGACAACAATTGTCACAACTACCAGCTCTTACCAATGACATCAGTCGCGAGTAAAGCATGGTTAAACCATTCCATTGTTTCCCATGGATCCATAGCAACAAGTGGACAAAAGCTTCTAGAAATTATCTATGGAAAACTCATCACATTAAAATCTGTATAATTTTGAAAATCTGTTGTAAATTTTGTGGTTTTGCAAAAACAGAGAGAATTCACAGATAAGGGTACCAGAAACTACAAAACATCAAATTTCACTCAATTATACTATTAGCTAGACTGGAATCTATCGATTGACTAAAATTGAATCTATCCATACCCTGTATGTTTGAAACAATCTGAGGAAATTTGTCCTCAGGTTTGATCAGCTCATAGTCTCTAATCAATACTTCCCATTTCTCACATCGATCCAGAACTGATTCTGCATTAAGATAAAACGAGTGTACCGTTCGAGAAGCAACACTTGTTTCAACTGTAACGCGTGGAAACGGGCGGCGACTGCCAATATGCGCTCCTGGCGCTGACGAAACCCCGCCACTTCCAGGCCATAATCATGGTCAGCAAACCCCGCTAACAAACCATCAATATCAAACAGCGCCAATTGGCTAGCTAGAGCGCACGCCCGTTCTATGGTATTGGTCTTTATGGTGACGACGCGTTCCATCTCCTCTAGGGGCGGCGCCAGCGCCGCCACCAGCATCTGGGGGAGGGCGTCGTCAATCGCGATAAGCTTCATCACCCAGCTGTGGGCGGCGACGGCGCTGTCGGCGCGCTGTTTCAACTGGCGCAACTGGTGTTTCACATCGCCATCAACTTGAACTTCGAGACGAGCCACGCGGCGACCAAGCACTTCCAGACACATGGTGAAACGAGGCAGACACGAGGCAGGCTGGGTAACGGTATCCTCCCAACAATCGGTCGCGGCAATGGCGTCGGTTTCAAGTCACCGGCGAGTGGTGGCGGTGCTGGAGTCAGGGGTGGTTCGGTTTTCCCACTACCGGGAAGCGGCGGCGCTCGATCTGGTGAGCGAGGTCGCCCTACCGAAATCTGAACCACCACCAAAATGTCAGCCGTGTTTGACAGTATGTGGGTCACGCGTGGCTGTGGCATGGGGTAAAACGGTATTTGTGTTTGATGCCATTTTGGGTGATCTCGTGGCGTCGGTGCCGATATCGGATGAAGCAAAGACAATAACGACAATATCTGAAGATTCAGTAATCGTGGCGACTAATGAAGTCAAGGGAAAGACTAATGAAATCATTAAAGTGAATATTGATGATTTGACGTTCGAATCAGTGAGTTCCGTGCCCCATAAGTTTCCTATTGTTGATATAGTCGCCAATACTGAAACTCATACTATTGTGTCAATTGACACCAAAGGGATCATTGAAGTGTGGAAATTGAATGGTAAACCATCGGTTGATTATACTACGAAGCTGGAAACCGATTATCTTGAAGTTGTGAGGGCTAAACTGAAACCTACAAAACTAGCAATGTGTGGTAACAATATCGCCGTGGCCACTGAATTGAGTATCTGGGTGTTTAACTACGTTACTGGTAAACGTGTTGGTTTGATTGATGCTGAAAAATCGCTGGCAATTGCTTTATTACCGACCCAATTATTATATTCCACTAAGACCGATATCCAAAGAGTATGGCTTAAACTGATCACTACCGATTCAAGTGATACGATTGGTAAGTTCCCAGCCTTCAATATAATCACATTAAGTGATGAAATACCTCCACTAGTCATTGCTAGCGGTGACGTCATCCGACTATATGATCACGGTATTGACCCCGAACCTCATGATTTAACCCCTTCAGCCAAGAAGCTAGCCAAGGTGCTGGTGGATGATATCACTCTGGTGACATTACACACGTCAAAGGGAGATATACGGATCAAGCTATACCCGAAACTCGCCCCCAAAACCGTGGAAAACTTTGTCGCTCTTATCCAACAGGGCTATTATACTCATCAAATCTTTCACCGAGTTATCAAGGGGTTTATGATTCAAACGGGTGATCCTACTGGTACTGGAACCGGTGGACAAGCGGCTACTGGCTCGTATATTGACGACGAGTTCTCCCCTCTTCTTACACACGCAAAGCCGTATATGGTAAGCATGGCCAATGCTGGACCCAATACCAATGGTTCACAATTCTTTATCACCACCAGACCCGCCACTGAGCTTGATGGAAAGCATTCGGTGTTTGGCGAGGTGATTGCAGGGTTTGAAGTGGTACGCACCATTGAGAGACTGAAGACCAAAAACGACCGACCCAATACCGCAATAGAACTCGGCCTGATCCTGATCCAACGATAAGATGTCCAACGATAAGAATGTCATGTATAAAATGCTAGATTGTAAATAGTAATAATGCTTTCTCATTCGGCCTCGCTTTCGTCGTCGTCGCCGCCCATGGCTTCACGAAGACTCACCGGTTTAGTACTGGCTCGATTAGTCGAAGTATTCCAGGGGCTAGCCTTCTTTTCAGGGGCTCCTTCAATGGCAATACCGGAGAAGGGAACTTCATCGAAATCGGACTCGTCCAGCTCCTCAAGTGCTAATTGTGTCAGTTGCTTCAGTTCTGGTTCAAGCACCTCGGCCAACTGGTTCTCCAAATCATCAAACTCATCGTCAACGTCCATCGGTTCAGACTGAGTAGGTTGAGATTGAGATTGAGTATTTTGAGACTGAGTATTGGTAGTGGTTGTATTATCGTCCAAATCATCGAAATCGGCGTCAGATATGATAATCTCCTCGTCACTCTTCGGCGCTGGTGGCCGTTTCGAACTGCGTTTTGTACTCGGTCTCGTACTTGGCTTGGAAACCAGTTTTGATGGCAGTTTAGCCCTCAGCGGCGCCACCGGGGCGCTAACAGGTGCCGGCTTAGACACAGTCTTTGGCGCTGGCTTAGCTACTGGCTTAGCTACTGGCTTAGCCGCTGGCTTCGCCACTTTAGCTTCAGCTTGTTCATTCGCCTTTTCCTCGTCCCACTGGCGGATCTGCTGGCGGAGCTTATCCGGCTGTCTCGTCTTGTTGACACGTATCGTGTTGTGCAAATGCTTCAACGCCACCCGCTGGTCGTGTACCGTCAAATAGTATTCCTGATTCAGCGACGCCCGGGTCAGGCCGATCCCTTCAAAAAGCGTGGTGTCGCTGGCAATGACGATCTGGGACCCGTGTTCGTACATCGTCAACGGCTGGGTGGGGTCGAACGAGTCGGGGAGAAACAGGAACCGGAGCGCCACGTTGTTGCGGTTGGGGTGATCGACTAGACCGGCTAGGTCGATCTCGTACTCGCCGTCAGGGAGACTCATGGGCTGAGAGATTATGGGGGTGTGTGGGCGGTGTTAACTATGGGTTCGCACCGTGGCTGGCCCCGGCATATGTAGGACCTTCATGTGAGCCAATAGATAAGGAATACTAGTGGGTAAGTCTGCTGAATTTCAATTATAGTGAATCAGATGAGGATTGATTCATTTCCGATAGGATTGCTAAGTACAACCTTTTGCCAAATATGGTAATCAGTAGCATTGGTTGAGTGCGATCACTGACAGTCTTTGCTTTACATACCAATGATACTGAATCTGAGGCAAATCGTAACTCTCTATTGCCTATAGAACAAAGAAAGTATGATGGTAACTCTACGCCCGACCAGGATGAGTTCTTCCATTACCCTATTCGGCTGAGTTCTCACTAGAGCCGTGGTTGCCGTCAAATCGTTTGAATGACTCCAGTTGAAAGAGAATCATGATTTCTACGTTAATAAAAGTACTTCGTCATCGAAATGTGCCACTATCATTTGCTTAAGAATTGTACTTACCCTTATCTGGGAGCTCACGCGGTGGACGCGTCTGGCCTCCTCCTCCCCTATGCCCACTACCCTCGCCGATGTCCCCTACGACGTGGGACGCCACATTTTCGCCAAGCTTGACGTGCCGTCAGTGTGTCGCCTTTATATCGCCTATAAGCCGCTTGCCTATGCTAAAGAGATTGCCGACTACCTCAGTAAGTGTACGGTGAAGGTGTCGCCAGAAACCGTCATTACTGCTGATACCACCAAGATCGAATTTGCTGAGCTAGCTCAACTTCCCCCGATGGATATTGTAGTGGAATCTTCCGAGCCTTACTTGGATATCACTCTCTGGTGGTTACGAAAAATACCATTCAAACTGATTGAATTGTCGATCTACGAACGCTATCGCTATAAGGGTCCGATGACGGACCAGCCTGATCTCACTTTCTTGGGTGCGGCGTTGACGAAATTGAAGCTCATTAATTTTGTTGTTCAGGCGAAAAAGATACCTACCGCCATCAAGGAAATTTCGTTGGTAGGGTGCTCCTTCAAGGAGACCCTTGATCTTTGCCGCCATACCGCCCTCTCTCGCTACCATTGCCTAGGATGCCAACACTCGGCTGTAAAGGTGAAATTACCTTCCCTGATCACAATCCTTGACCAGTGTGACCATGAGGGACAGCTTACAGATGCATCACGCTTACCAAACTTAAAACATTTCGTGGGTAGGAGGGTCACCAACGTACCATGGTCACAGCTTGAGGTGGTCAGAGCTAATAACATTCCTCGAAATGAGACATTAGCCCAGGTGAAGGAGTATACGAGCTCTAGATGGGTGACATTACATCGCCAGTGTCCCAAGTTAGAGCGGGCCATATTGTACGCAGATCTATTTCCAGATGTTTCCCTGATCTTCACCGATCACCAGCAAGCTCAATTGACCCACTTGAAAGCAGGGGCGCTTCATCTCCGCGATTTGAGCTTGTTCCAAAATTTGAAAGCGTTGAACTGTGAATTCAATGACACCCTCACTGAAGATTATCCCTTACCACCAAAATTGGTGGAACTCATGGTGCGGAAATGCCCGCTGGTCAAGGGCATCCCTCCTCTGGTCGAAAAATTCGTTTATATCGCCTCCCCACCTTATGAGGCTGGGGATCGGGTTTTCGTCGCTGAATCAACTACACTCAAATTATTGCAAGTTGTGAGGGCATCAAAAGTCACGATTGACTGTCCTCAACTCACCTCCTTATTTTTGGAAGATATGATGATTGATCATCCTGTTAGCGTCTATGCCCCTAAGTTAGTGAGGTTGGTATACGAAGGTGAACAACCATTCCCCCTCGAGAATGATTTCCCAAACCTTGAATATCTCGTGCTAGAAAGGCTGCAACAAGATGTAGTTTTGAAAAACCACTTGAAATCCATTGAGTTAAACCGGATGAACCCAGAAAAGTTATCAATCTCAGCGGATTATGTGTCCTTGGAGAGGATCGTAGTTCCTTATGGGGCAAATATCAATGCCACGGAGCTCAAGACTGACACATCGCTTAGTCGCGTTCGTGATTTGAGTTGTCGAGACTTGACATGTCCATGTATCGACCGTCCTCCTTCCATGGTTGAAAAATTGACTTGCAGCTTCGCCATCGGCAAAAAGAGACCACATGGTGGGTATTCTATTGCCCCAGATATTCGCCATTGTGAAAATCTTCGATACCTATCAATTAAAGGAGGATCACGCCTTCTCCAAACATTGCGGTGCCCCCCATCACTAAGACAACTCATCGTGAAAACGGGTGTAGACTTCGAGATGTTGCATATTGAGACCACAAACCCGCTTGAATACTTTGAGTGTGATTATAAGGACACTATATCAGAGGAGTCTTTCACGTTCAATCAGAAACCCGCTTCGATTAACTTCAGCGTAACGGAGGAGCCTTGAGTTTAATGCCGACTTGATGGGTCGATGTGCTGAAAGAAGCAACCCCTAGTGGAAGTCACACCCCAGTGGGCAGTGTGATAGAATATCTTGAGATTCTGGTCCACAGGCGCAATTAGCCTAGATTATCTTCTGTGAAAGAGAGCTGCTCTGGCAGCTACGAGTCTGCCAACGTCCCGATGACTAGGACTCAAGTGCTGTGATTTTTGATGGAGATTTTGTGATCGTACTTTAGAACAAAGGCCCAGTCTACACCCCAAGGGGCAAAGAATTGCTCCAGCTCTATCATTGGCAGAATCTTAGCTCGTGCAGAGCGTCGACACGGGGTAGAAAATCCATGACCTGATTTTACCAGATTGTGTTATTTAAGCGCAGTGCTGGAGCTTTTGAACCTACTTGGATTGTATTTGCATATGATGCGCGAGAATCCATAATTTGTGGGGGTATTTACATTTGCGGGGGGTTTAAAGTTCGATCAGGAAATAAGCTCACCAGACGCAAACGGCACTCCGAACGGTCAACGGAGACGATTTCTTCTCTCAGATCAAATACGATTCACCAAGATCGTTCAATACTACGTTCGTCCAGCTAACAAATTTATAAATTTTGCAAAAATCACGCTATTGATTATGTCTATTATCTGTCGTATTAACTATGCAAAATTAACCCACAATCTTGTCAAGCACCCACGACCCGTGCTTCTTCACCTGGATGACTTTAACCACGGGCAAATCCCAGCCCACACCCAGGCCACCAACACTGGCACCGAATCGAGGCACCACGTAACATTCACGCTTTGTAGCACTGATGTTTTTAGGAGCATAGGGGTGACCCAACGGCTTAGAATAAGTGATAAGCGGCGAGTTCTTACCGATATTGGCAAGCAGTTTCCCCAGGATCTCCACCAACGGCTTCAACGTCACTCTCACCATTTCCTTTCTCGTCAATGATTTGTTAAGCGACGAGTAGATGAGGTATTGTGGCGGTGTCTTACCCAGATGAGCTAATGCCGAACCGGGGTGAATAAACACATGTTGGGCTTCTTCGACGGGGACCACGGGAGTGTACGGAACCCGCAAAATGCTAGTATTATTGGTGAGCCTAATATCGGCGTCGATGCAATCACTGCGGATCGCCACCATGTCCAAGTAACCCAGAGCCACCATCTGCTTGATTGCGGCCACCTGAGGCTTCAGCGGCACTCCGAGCTTGAGTGGTTGCTTTGAATTGTCGACAATATCGTTGGTGGTGTACATCGTCACCATGTGCGAGATCTGCTGTCTAAGCTTAGCGATTTCGTCCATGAGCTTGCCTCTGAGGAAATGCAGTTTGGTGAAGTTATCCTTCAGTTCCTTAGGGATGTGGTCGTAGGCACACACCGCCAGCAAGAGGACAAACATGTCCGCGGGGTCCAATTGAGAGAATGTTCTCCGCGAGTTGAAATAACGCAGTCTAAGCTGTTTACGACGTTCATCGTTGTTGTGGGAGTCGTCATCATCAGAGTCATCTTCATCAGAGTCACCATTCTCGGTTTGCTGGTTCTCTTTGATGCCCAATTCGTGTTCGCCAATGAAAGGATCACCCACGGAAAAGGCACTAACGAGGGCAATGATATAAGGTAAGCACTCAAGCTGGTTACCCACAATCAAGATCTTGGCGTGGCGAGGACTCAAGGGGAACATCGACATCGTCTTACCCAAATCCGTCACCTGTTTAGTCTTAGCATCCAATGCTCCCAATACCGTCAATAGTTGTTCTGCTCGCTTAAGGCGAGGACGGTCAGGAGGAGTGGGGAAGGGGAAGTTGGCAATATGGTCGATACCCATCAGTTTCATCTGGAGCACGATACTTTCAAACGGCATTCTGAGGATTTCAGGCTCACTAAACTGAGGGAAGTATTCTTCATAAATCGCCAGTGAGAATAACCGGTAGCAGTGACCTGGACCGGTACGACCAGCTCTACCGGCTCTCTGATCGGCAGAAGCTTTGGAAATCCAGTCAATCTCAAACAGTTGTACACCTGTCTCGTCGTTATATTTGCGTTCTTTAGCTCTGCCACAATCAACCACGTAGCGGATACCAGGGATCGTCAATGACGTTTCGGCAACGTTAGTGGCAACAATGCAAATACGAGAGCCAGGAGGCGGAGCTTGGAATACCTTCATTTGCTGGTTTGTAGGAAGCAATGAATAAAGCGGGAGTACATATAATGGGTCATCAGGCAGCTGGTGAGGCTCCAATTCTTCGTCAAACCCTTCTTCTTCTTCCAGATCCAGTTGGTAATCATCGTGATCTACACCGGGTAATTGCTCAGCGTCGTCCACAGCAAAGTCAACATCCTCAGCTTCAGCATCAGTATGCTTTGAGAGTTGTACTTTGACATCATCTCTGTCGTAGCCAGGGTTATCCAGTTCCTTCTTGAAAGGGAACTCAGCTCTAAGCCGTTTAACCAAGTGAGTAATCTCATTCTGCCCTGTCAAGAACACTAAGATACCACCGGGAGGAAGCTTGCGGTGGATCTTACACACCTTATTAAAAGCGTCTTCCATGTAGTCAAACCCTGTGTGCTTATTGAAGTGGACCTTAACCTCATATTGACGAGCATCGACTTTGATGATGGGAGGGGGCGTGGAGAAAAGCGTCTTATTCTCCGAGAAATCAGATACCCGCAACGTCGCCGACATGATCAAAAGCTTAAGTGGTTTGTGAGCTTGAGGGTCCTTGTCGTGGTATTGGCGACGGAGTTTAACCACCCGAGAAAGCATCCCGATCAAAATATCGGTATTAATGTTTCTTTCGTGGGCTTCATCAATGACAATCGCCAGATATTTCGTAAGCAAAAAGTCCTTCATCATCTCTCTTAAAAGCACACCATCAGTCATGAACTTCATCGCGGTGCCGTCTTTGGTCCCCTCATCCTTGATGGTACTGTCAAACCGGATCTGGTAGCCGATCCGGTGGCCGTGGTTACCCATTTCGTTACCCACCCGCTTAGCCATTGAAACAGCCGCCACTCTTCTCGGTTGGGTAATCCCAATCATACCAGGATACATCGTCAGGTCAGGGTTACCGAACCCAGCTTCGTAAAGGAATTGCGGTACTTGGGTGGTTTTACCGGACCCTGTTTCACCACAAATGACAAGAGTATCGTGGTGGTACACGGCTTCCATGATACGAGCTTCTTCAGAGTAAACTGGAAGCCCCACCCGCTGTTCTTGTACTTCTTCCAGACGCTCAATGTTGACGAAATGCGCTTGACGTTGCATCTGCTTATTGATGGGGACGTAGCCTTCTTCGTCAGATGAGTGGTCAATATCTTCATCTCTCACTTTACGTTCGAGAATTTGTTTGCGAATCTCTTCAGGAATAGCGGCTCTGACTTCTTCCTTATCGCGACCTTCATTGACTCGAATGCGGTGCTCAGCCCACTGTTTAAACTCTTCAGCAGCACTTGAGTGTTTCGGTTTCTGTTGGATAAGACGAGGCTGTTCTTCTTCTTCTTCTTCTTCTGATTCCTCTTCCTCAGAGTCTTCCTCTGAGTCGTCACCTTCTTCATCATCCTCGTCTTCTTCATCGTCTTCTTCTTTGTCTTCTTCAACGTCACCATTGGCTTCTTCACCATCCTCCTCCTCATCCTCCTCATCCTCCTCTTCTTCCTCCTCCTCATTATTTTCTTCTTCATCACTCAGAGAATCAAAATCGGCGTCATCCTCCTTCTTCCTCCGCTTAGCGTCTTCTTTAGCCACTTTCGTCCTCCAGTTATACTTCTTCTTCACCGGATCCTTCTCAATCTTAGGCAAATTAGCGAAACCAAACCCCATCGACTGACCGCCAAACTTCTTAGGTCGATTATCAATAAACAGCGACGACGCAGTCAGTGTCAGCGTAAATGCCAGTGGAGTATCACCAAACTGAGCCAATTCGTCTTCGTCATCATCATCGTCATCAGAACCGTCATTGGAGTCGTCTTCGTCCCACTCTTTCACTTCTCTCGTCTCGTAAAGGATATCTCTAGTCTTATCACTGGCACGGCCCTGGCGCTCTAATTCAAGTGCCTCAGCAAACTGTTGTCGTTTAGTCTGCTTACCAAGCCCTAGCAGTTTCACCTGGACAAGTTTCAGAGTGTCCACTTTCGTCTGGGCCAATTTTTCAAGCAACACTTTCTTCTCATCGCGTTTAAGCTGGTGGTCGATGTATTTCTCCATTCTCTTCCGCTTCTGACGGCTCATTTTCAGTTCCGGCTGGTCGGCATTTAGCTGTTCTTCCAACTTCCGTTTGCGTTCGGCTTTCTCCTCTTTCAGCATCGGCTGGAGCACCTCGACATTAGGGTTAGCTTCCGGTTCTTGGATCTCTTCAGCACCGTCCTCGGTGCCGTCCTCAAGATGGCGATAGAACTGTTGCTGTCGCGCCTTCTTTAACGCCGCAGTCTTGGCAAGGAAACCTCGGCGAGCCTTTTCATTGTGCCGTTTTCGGTAGGTCCCCATAGTATATGGCTGAGAGGTAGGGATGCGTCTTGGTAACCGATAGTGCGATGCCGTCACGTGACATCAACTATAAAATGAAAAAGATCATAATGATGTAAACTGATCTAGGGGAATCGGAATATCACACGTATTAGTCGTCATTGATTGTTTACACGTAGTGTCCTAATTTTTCAATTTTATGATTTTTGCTTACGTAAGCGGTCGACGTCGATTTGTCTCAGTGGTACTATCCCCGAAATCAAAACTAAACTCAACGGCGTGCGTGACGTCGCTTACCCCACAATTCGGGCAAAAGCATTGCCACCGTAAACACAGCCATTTGCTCAACAAAATCAAACCCTTGACCTTCACGTTTAACAATACCCAGCCTGACTCATAGTCATTTTCACGTGAGCAGGACTCGTCCGTGAGTCAAATTTAGATTACGCCGCAAAACCGTCGACTCGCACCGCAGGTCCGAGACACCTACACGTACCTCAACTCCAGACGATTATCCCCGCCATGGGCACCCCCGACCTCTACAGCCATCGTGAGTACCATACACAGACTGTGTACAATCTAAGGGCATGTTACTAACCTATTCTTAGTCATCCATGTGTCGCTTACGCTTAATTCGCTGACGCTCTACTCGTACGAAAACCCCCACTTGGTCCAGCTCCTCAATAACCTCCACTGTCTGGAGATCATCAGCCAGGAGCTCGGAGTGATCAATGCGCTGAAGACGTTGGTGGGGCTGATTCCGGTGCTGCTGACTCCCGGAGCTTATCCTTCCAAATTAGTACTTTATTTCATGAAACGCACCCAAACCCTGGCCGACGGCCTGCAAACCGATTTGATCACGATGGTGGTGATTGCCCACGCTCAGGTGAACCGAGCTTTGGTGCTTACGGTGATGAAACGCATCATCGAGGCGTACCTAGACTTCCGAAAACAGGGGCGAGATTCGAAGCGCCAGCTCGGCGAATTCAAGGTGGCGATGAACGCCATCATCAAGAGAGAGGAACAGACTTATGACCTGAATCACCAGTTATTCCTGTACGGCGCCACCAATGACGACGGCGCCAATATCACCCCTAACCAGCTTGTATTGGCTAATGAGGAAGTCAACGAAGTGCGTGAGCTCATGTTGGACAATATCAACAAGATATTGGACCGTGGTGAACGCATCGACTCGTTGGTCGACCAGACGGCGCAGTTGCTGACGCTGCTGGTGGTGTTCTACAAGAAGGCGCAGCAGATTAAGCGCCACATGTGGACTCAACGAATGAAGTTCACGTTGATGGTGCTGGCAATTTTCGCCGTCATTGTTTATCTAGTCATTGGCGCCAACTGTGGCTACCCGTTATGGAACCAGTGCTTTGCCTAACAAAAGAAATATTCCTTCCTTGGGAAATCAAAATTGAAACTATGCATATAACGTTTAATACACTCACTCGTCGTCGCTGGTGTCGCTGTCGATGACCTCGGCGCTCCCGAGATCAGCCACCACCTCCACGTCGCTCGGTTTCACCTTCACTTCTTCCTCTTCTTCCTCTTCTTCTTCTTCATCATCGTCAATTTCCACCACTTCGTTGTCTTCTTCCTTTACCTCTTCATCCACTTCCATATCATCATCTTCGTCGTCATTAGCGTCAACATCGTCTTCGTCGTCGGTAGAGGCAGTTTCCCTGGCGACGGCTCCCAGTTCAGTCTTAATCTTCTTAGTTCCGTTCGCTTCAGTGTTAACTTCAGTAGTTTCAGTGGTCGCCTGCGGTGCCAGCACCGCTGATGGCGCACCCGCCTTCTTTTGACGCCGTTTCTCGTCCCACGCCGCCGTTCGGAATTCGATATCGGGGACAAATTGCAGTAACCCTGCCTTTTCGAGCCCTCTAAGGATATCGTCTTCAGAAACGTTTTTGCGGTCTTGCAGTTTCAGAATCTCTCGAGCTTGAAATAACAAGTGCAGCACAAACACGGTGGCACTGCGCTGGATCGCCGTCAACGAGTCCTTGGCCAACATCGCGTCTTCAGGCATCGCCAGCTTCGCGAGCTTTTGCACCGTCCCCTTAGGGAATAGGATCTCGTCAATCAGCGTCGGTTCCTGGCGCACGTGCGGCGGGTTCACCGCCTCGCCGTTCTTTCTCCACCCTTTGGGAGGCATCTTCGTGGGTTATTGGAATATAGGTTAGAGGACGCTGAACGATGGCAGGCGCGCGACTCGAAGACGCGAGCGCCGGTGCTAGCCAACGCGAATGGCGCTAACAATTATAACTATTGACTAGCACCGCTATACCCTATTACACACAGTTAGCAAATATTGGGTTAGCCATTGTAGTGAAATTTTCAAAGAGAATCAGCTTCATAGACCCTATTTTTCAAAGGAACTTTCTTAAATTAGAGAGTAATTGTATGAGTAGAACATACCAATTGGACATTGTGTATTTTCAGTCACAAGTACTGGCTCTAGTCCCAGTACATCTCCAATTGAATGATTCGTTAGTAGTTGTTTGTCGTCGTGGTCTCACCCCGCGATGGGCTCGGTGCACGTCAAGCGCCCCCGGCCGCATCAGTGGAGGGTTACGCCGGCGATGACGGCTGACTACTACGGCCTGTTGGCTGCGCCCAACATCGCCACGGTGGTGTACGCGGGGATGGCGTTTGCCCCCTGGTACGGGTCCCCCGCCTACTTCTCCCGCCACGACCATACCCGTCTTGGCTTCGGTGAAGGCGCCTCTCCATCGGCGCCAGCGCCAGCGCTACCGCAAACAGCGACGCCAACAGCGACGCCACCAGCGCCAAAAGCGACCGACCCTGATACCAATGTGTGGCTCGACCAGCTCTATGTGTGCCACTATTGCTTCCAATATACCAGCAAACTGGCATCGCTCGCCGCCCACTTAAGTCTATGCGATCATCGAGCCACTACTGAAGCTCTGGGAGGCCCTACAGTGGGACAAATGGTGTATTGGGACCAAAAGAAACAATTGATTGTGAGACGGGTCCGAGGCACCCATAACCCTTTATTCTGTCAAAATTTGGCTTTATTTGGTAAGCTATTTTTGGACGATAAACTGGTGTTCTATAACGTGGAATCATTCGATTTTTACGTCCTCTGGGGACCACCCACCACAGACAAAAACACTGACCATTTAGTCCCCCTTGGCTTCTTCTCAAAAGAAGTCCTTTCTTGGGATAATACGAATAATTTGGCATGTATCTGTGTGTTTCCTCCATTCCAGCGACGACGCCTTGGCTGGCTATTAATCGAGATTAGCTATGCTGTGGCTCGATGTACTCCCGGCCAGTTTTTGCTGGGACCTGAATTCCCATTACTGCCATTCGGCCGTGCGGCTTATATCCGCTTCTGGCTGATTAAACTCGCCCATTACCTTACCACAAAGTTAGGGGATGATGCCAGCGAGTTTGATTTGGATAGTATCGCTCGGGCCACTGGCTTCCGCATGGAAGACATTCTCTATACTTTAAGCCATATGAGAGTGCTTGAAACTATCGATAATGATGAGCTTGAGCTCCGTCTCGGTGCCGTGACGGAATACTGTACTACCAATAAGATTGATCCCACAATTGACGTCCATGTGTGGGACCCTGAGGCGTTCATGTTGACCTCTTAACATTACCCTCTTTATGACTAATGAAACAAAACTAAGAGTAATTAATTTCTACGAAAATTATCAAAACGATTGAACATCGTTAAAAGAATTTCATCGGTAACAAATCAATTTCCTATTAGATACTATTCATTTTCTTACTATACCTTACTCGATCGACGATGCCACACTCTAAAATATTTAAAGAAGGTTGTTGAAGAACGCTAAATTCTAATTGAATATGGAAGAACGTTTTAGTCGACTTGGATCACGAACTGTAATATTCTTTCGACTCAGTTCACTTGTACAAAATCGTAAGTTGTGTGTCTATTGACTAATGTTACATTCTAACCCCATATTTGCTAATATACACCACTAGCCGTCCGCCAGGGACCGACTAGCGCAATTGCAGAAACGCATCCAACAACACCAGCTGCGGCGCCTCCAGTTGCTTATTCTTTTCAAACACGTTCCAGAACCGCAACGTCTCGTCGCCAGCCCCGGTAACAATGGTCTCGCCGTCGGGTGAAAGCGAGAGGTAGAGCACCCGGTAGGTGTGGCCTGTAAGCTGGGCAAGCTGCTGCATCAGCGGGTACTTCCACACAATGATCTGGTTGCGCAGGTACCCGTGAGTCAGCACCAACTCGTTCAGGTTCTTCAGCCAGATCAAATTGCACACTTGCAGCCCTGTGTGGACGTCGTGGACGAGACTTCCTGTTAAGGTATTCCAGGTTTTGAGAGTCTTATCCGCAGTACCGCCTCCCGAAGCTAATACTCCTCGCTGGTGTGGCAGCCACGCGATCGCCTTCACCGCTGCCGTGTGGTCGGAGAACGTGTGTAATGGCTTTGGATTTAACCCGTCCCACACGTAAAGCTGGTTATCGTTACCTCCCAGCGCCAATTTATTCTCATCGACATTCCATTTAAGCCCACACACTTCCTGTTTGTGGCTTTCAAACCGGTTGACGAACGGGTTCGCTTCTCTCACATCACGATTCAAGATAGAGCGGTCTCTCAGACCCAGACTTAAAATATGTTCGTTCCACGCTAACAGCAGCACTCGTAGCAGGTGGCCCGCCATCGTTCTCACGCATTTAATCTTGGTGGCGTCCCAGATCTCCACTAACCCTTTGTTGGTGCCGATGGCGACGTGGGACCCCAGACCAATCCAGCTGATCAGAGTCACCTTGTCCCGCTTGGCCAAATTGCATAAACGTTCCACCAGCTGGGTAGCACTGTCCCAAAGATAAACCAGGTCTCCAAGCCCCACGGCAAGCACATCCTGCGACCCCCAGTCGACTAAATTAAGGTAGAAGTCGTCACAGAGCTCAGGAGCGTCTAATACACGGTAGGGCACTTTGCTAATTGTGCGAAGCTTCTTTTGCGGACTCAATAAGAGCCTCTGGGAGTCCAGTCTAACCGGCAGCAATGAGTAAAGTTCCTGCTGCAAATCGCGGCCATTCAGACGATTTTTCTTTGGCAGTGAGTAGGTAAACACGTTGGTCGTCTTTTTCGGCCGGCGAGGAGTCACCAGTTCCAGTTCCAGCTCCAGTGCCGGCGGTGTCTTCGCTCTATGGCTACTATGTAAGTTAGCCGTGGCCATAGGTACATTATCGCCAAAAAGCTCGGCTTTAAGCACCGTGGAGAAAGTGTGGTTGGCTTCCTGTTCTTTTCTCACCTCCATTTCGTTCTCATCATCCTCCATGGCGGCTTTAGCAACGATGTCCTGAGAGCTTAGGGAAAATGCCGCCTGGAGGTCTACCCCCATGCGGTTAGGGATATAGCGGTCACTATAGAGCTTTTGGCTCTGCAAATGGCGGCGGCGGGGCGATCCCAGCGTCATGGGGTTGTCGCTTATGGGTGGCGCGTTAGTGGCGCGGGTCTGCCGCAGAGCCTCTCGCGGAGTCTCAAACAGATGGTTGGGAAGTTCCGCCATTAACAGGCTATTCAGAATTGGTCAGTGAATTGCGTGAAGATGGAGGGTATTGATGGCAATAATTCCTGAGAGATAAAGGAGGAATGGTTCAGGAGGATGAAAGAGTAGGCGGGTCACGTGATGCGCGCCTTGACGAAAAAAGAATCTGGTGGAAGGCACTAGTGGAAACCACACCGTCTATCTCTAACATGAGGGAATTACAAGGTACGAGCATGGTTTGGTAGCAGTGCCTCCTCTTTCTTGCGGCCGTCTGGAATGTCTAAAATTGAAGGTTCATTCAATTGTCAGTGAAAGCTACAAAGTTTTTTTTGAACACATAAATTGTATATTTGAAGTATAGACAAAGGCAAAGGACTAGGCCGTCCCAATTTGGGTGCGTAGCAGTGGGGTACCAGGGGCATCGATACTAAAACCTCATCGCCTCAGATCCACGTCCAAACGGCAGAGACTTTATCACAGCAATTGCTAATCCCACCGAGCACTGGGATCGCCATAAACGATTTCACCAAGTGCTACCATAGAGCGCGGGTGCGGGGCCGTGGTAAAAGTTCTGTTTCCAGGAATGGACTAAGAAGGCAAGTGACCAATTCGCCTCCTTGAGTGTTGTTGTATTTCAACACCGGGATCGTCGTTGATGAAGTGTTAGCCGAGCAATTGAATTCACTGAAGGCCTGGTAATCACACCGCTGAGTGCACTAAAAAGGTTAGCTGTTGCCAATTGCCTTCAACCCTTCAAGGCAAAAATGAAGCATGAACAAACAAGATCAAAATATGAACTGAATGAAAATGGCAAAAAAAATAAGTGGTGGCGCCTGGTGATGGTAGCCGTCGCGGAAACCCATCCCCCCTCAAGGATGAGCCTCCAGCTAGTCACCACAGACGGTCACCACGAAGGTTGTCTTTTTTTTTTTTGGGATTTTCTGGATTTTTTTTGGAGTAATTGCTGAACAACCAGCTGGAGAACGAAACCCCAACTTCTCCCCAATTGCTTTCTCTTTAGAGCCCCGGGAGGAAACCCATTGGAAGGCAAAGGAGGAGAAGAAGGAGCTCGATGATCAGAAATAATCGTGGCCGATCCCCCCGTATTTATAGACCAAAATTTCGGTTGCGGTGGCTCCGGATCCCGGCAGGCTGGCTGAAGATCTTGGCTGCAAAACATTACGCAAAGCAGTGGTGGTCAGTCCACATGAAATTGGTAATAGATTACTAGAAAGAGGTCAATTGAGCTAAAGCACGACTATACTAGGTTATCTGACGGAATTGAAAACGATCCAACCAACCTTATCAATTACTTTACGTCGTAATTAACCGTTTCATTGAATTCTTCTTGCTATCGGTGACGGGTTTAGCCATTCACGGTGCTGGCTTTATTACGTGCGTTTTGTTATGTGGACACTTAGTCCCAATTAGGAAGTGCGGTTGATGATGCTGACCTCGATGAGGATAGGTCAATTAATTCCCAATTGAGCAAAGAAAAGTAAAGTAGAGCTAATGTGGAGTATCGTTATTGATAGAATGAATTTGGAATTGACTTTGTTGCTGTCAAATTCAGTTCTCGGGAAAAAATTTAGTGCTGCAGCCTCGGCGATGGCTAAACGTCGATTGGACGGCGTACGACGCACGTAAACCCAAACACCAGGCTGGCTACGTACAAGCAACGGCTTCGCTGTCACTTGAGCCGATGACGTAGTTCTGACAGGACCCCAACAAAAATCATATTGGACCGTCGCGAGCTAGCCATCGCATCACGGACCCCTAACTGCTATTAAACCGTAGTGGTTACATGACTCCCACAAACCGATTACAAATTCTGTTAATTTACTCTAAATAACTACTCCTTTAATGGCAAAAGTATTGCCATCTCCAGTTGCACTTTGCCTATTAGGTAGTCGTTAGCTTGCTCAAAGGAATCCTCTCTGCTCACAATAATCCTGCACTGCAGAAATCTTCTCGTATCCCTGACTGAAAAATTCTTCACGGTTGCTTTTTTTTTTAGTGACTCGGTTCGAGTCTTGTCAACGGCGCTCATTCGCTCACGCACCTCGCTTATCGCCTTACAGTCACAAGACACCTTCACCCTTGTGGCTCATCACCGTACAAAGCGCGATTACATTGGCCGCCTCCACCCTCGATCAGCAGGTGACATCATCGCCACGTACCCCTATTCATTAAGCCACCAATGACATCCCATCCCCAAACGAAATCTAACTCTGTCTCACCATATAATTTATCCTCTATATTCCTTTACCATTTTTCTTCCAGGGGGTGACGGATCGCCCCCCGCCTTACTATCGCTGTCAGATCGGCATCTTGCTTTTTTCCTTAGCACACGGCGTTGACTCGCGCGCGCTAGCGAAGTTTTTCTGTCCCGCCTTAAGCAATGAAAAATTTGGGTAGTGACAGATTGGAAGTCAAGCTCTTCCCCTCACCACGATCATAAGATTGTATTTGAAGTAGTGGGTGGATAATTGTGACGGTTTTGTTTCCCAATCCGACTTCCCCGTAAACTCTAAAGGCGAGCTTCCTATTGTTCTACAACTATTGCCAACGAGGCGCGGTTACCATAGCAATGAGGGATTTTCCACACGAATTCCCACCAAAAACCACCACTACCACCAAACAAACACCAACACTACCCACTTCTATCTCTAACTAACACCATGCTACAATTCAAACGTCGTCAAAGGCCCTACTTTCCCCTTTTTTTCACCACTGATTTACCCAAGTTTGCTCCGGTAGGGTTTGGCCCTAGCCGCCTGCAGGGCGCGCTGAGTGAAAAAAACTTTAAAAGGCGGCCGGTGGGCATCCCCGACGCTTTTCAGTCAAACCACCCATCCGTCCCACGAGAGCTGCCGCTTGAAGTTCCCCCATTGATAGTACTCACTAATCCAGTGAGTAGAGCCCGGAACTGTTAGACAAACCCTATTTGACCCCCGGAATGACCTTCGAGATGACCCCCGCCGGCCCCGTGGTCGACGGCGGCGTGCGCCACGTCCCCGAACCCCCCCGCGCCCCCAAGATGCTGATGGCGGCGCCNCCCCCCCACGCCCCCAAGATGCTGATGGCGGCGCCGGTGCCGGCGCCGGTGCCCCCGTCAGCCGTGGTCGCCTCCACCGCCGTCGCCAAAGCCCTCTACAAACAGATCCAGGTCGACCACGAGGTGTGCGACGCCGGCGACGAGGACTCGTTCTTTGTCTGCGACTTGGGCGAGATCCGGCGAGCGTTTGCCCAGTGGCAGCACCAGTTGCCGATGGTGAAACCCTACTATGCCGTCAAGTGCAACCCCCACTTCCAGGTGGTGAAACTTTTGGGCCAGCTCGGCGCCAACTTCGACTGCGCGCTGAAGGCGGAGATCGACGAGGTCTTAAGTCTCGGATTCTCCCCTGACCAGATCGTCTACGCCAACCCGTGCAAGACGAACTCGTTCATCCGCCACTCGCAGCAGGTAGGGGTGAAGTTGACCACCGTCGACAACACCACCGAGCTCCACAAGCTTGCGCGGTTCCACCCCAAATGTGGCGTGCTTGTCCGGTTAACTACCGACGACCTGGCCGCCCAGTGCCGCTTGCTGACCAAGTTTGGCTGCACTGTCGACGAAGCCATCGGCGACATCTTGCCTTTAGCTCGCCAGTTGGGGCTTAACGTGCGCGGGGTGGCGTTCCACGTGGGGCTGGGGGCGAAGGACTTCACCCTGATCAACACGGCGATGAAGGACCTGCGCCAGGTGATCGACGCCGCGGTGGCGATGGGGTTCCAGGTGGATACCCTCGACATCGGCGGCGGCTTTGAGAGAGCGACGTTTGCCGAGTCGCTGGCGATGGTGAGAGCCCTGCTTGACCAATACTTTGCTGGTAGTGATATCAACGTCATCGCCGAGCCTGGCCGGTTCATGGTGCTGGACGCGTTCACTTTAGCCGCCCACGTCATCGCCAAACGGCCCCACGAAGTGCCCATGGTGTACATCAACGACGGTGTATACGGGAACATGAACTGCATCCTCTTCGACCACCAGACCCCCGAGGCTCACGTGTTGGTGCACCGGTCGCAGTTTGTCTACGGCGACAGCGGCGTCGGCAGCTTCAAGTGTCTGATCTGGGGCCCCACCTGCGACGGGTTGGACTGTGTCAGCGGCGACGCCAGCCTCGGGTGGGACGTCGACGTCGGCGACTGGCTCTACTTCCCCCGGTTGGGCGCGTATACCTCGGCGGCGCTGACGGCGTTCAACGGGTTCTCTTCCACGACCAAAGTGGTGTTTGTCGACACCGCTTAAACCTATCAATTAGGCTACTTTAATATACTAATTTTTATAGAAAAGCTGTAGACACTGTGGTCGGTCTTACGATGACATCGGCAATGTAACGTTGCAATCGCGGCTCCCCTGTACGCATAATGAAGCTGCGAGCAGAGGAATCGATTTGAGCCTCGAGACTCTATAGATCTGAACAGGTGATACGATATCAATCATGATTAGTCATTGAATTTGCCTCAATCCATCAAACTGACTTCGTTCACATGCTGCTCTTCAATTGTAATCCGCTAGACGGGGCGTCATTCAATGGCCGCAAGGGCTGCAAACGAGCACCTGCGTCACTATTGTCTCCCGCCAACACCTGGAATATTTATCCAAATTGCACAACGAATCAGTATGATGTCGCCCATAAACAATATCTGTGATTGTATTGTGCTGCTGGTTTCAATTGGTCGACCAAGTGATAGAAATGATTAGTTCGATCTGATAGAGTCTATAATCGCATTACATGTGTTACGAAAGTCTTTATCTTTTTGATCTACATCATGTCGAACTCCGTCTCTTCTACCAGTTGAAACGAAATTTAGTAAACTCTTAACAAATATAAAAGCACTTCGCCATCAGTCATGGCTCAACCACGTGGTGGTGGAGCACTGCCTTCACCTGAATGCCAAGAGACGAACCAGTTCCCCTTATTGCACAGCCGACGTTCCATGAGGGGTTGACACCTTTTACGGTGATAATTTGCGGTACTCGCAAAAACCCTTTCTCGAGATCGGCTATATGTGCCCACTTACAACTGAAGATGGCGAGTATAAATATATGTAGAGTTCACTAAAGATTTATTCCATCATTACAATGGTTAACTTCAAAAACATCTTCCTTTTGGCGACTTCGTTCACTGGTATCGCCACCGCCGCTGCCACCGCTACTGCCTTGACTGAGTCGAAAGACACTGCCATTGTCGATAACGGGGTGCAATTCAACACTGGCATTTTCAACGTCAGCAGCTCCAGTTGGCAAGTGTACAGTGCCTTGCCTTTGAATGTGGACAAGAGTTTGTACACTGAATGGGCTAGAGATGACCCCAGAGGGTATGTGGGGATGCTTGATGACGGATTTAAATACAGACTCCCCGAGAACAGAAGCGTTGTTCTTGAAGCCGTCCGCCGGGAAGACAATAAGTACGATGTCTACGTCAATGGTCGCGAAGGCACCATCGTTGGCTATTGTGAACCGCAAGAGTACCAAACTTTTGACAGCTACTTCTATTACATTGCCTCGTGCTATGTGTCGGAGTACCAGTTGAAGCTCGCTGGGATCGCGCCGTGTGACCCTAAATGTTGGAGTTACTGGGATTACTCGTACGCCCAACAACACCAGATCTACTCAGCATTCACTTCTACAGCCACCGATGGATTTTAGATTTATGGTATAGGTTAAGATTGACTCTGAAATGTATGTTCGCAAGAGTGCTAACTTATGTAGATTGAAGCAACATATTACACAATTTGAAAAACCAATCGCTTATTAGCATAGACGAGGAACTAACTGTACAAAGCGAATATGTTGTAAATTACGAGGAGGTGGGGTAAGAGGTTCACGTGATCGAAATTAGCTACGGTTAACAGTATATTCGACGTTAGAAGCAATTGACTTCAATATACTCGATTTATTAAAGAACAGTGGCAAATGAATTGATCAATTCGATCGATCTCATGATGTTAACCCTAATTCTCATTATCACATCACGCACAGCCAATTCTGCCAACAGATTTGTGCTGCGATGAGGCTTGGTCTCTAGTTTCCTCAATTTCTTCTCCCTCAAGTTGTGTATGATAAGAACCAGATTAGCATGACCACTGTCTCCCCCGTCCACGATTCAAGCATCATTGTAAGCCTAAGTGATCTATAAATAACCGGGCTTGGCAACGCCGCTTCAATTTTTCCGATCTTTTGGCGATGGAGGCTTTGCGTGTGCATGGAGGTTGGGTCCCCATACTCCCCCCCGGGAATGAGGGATTAATGTCGCCACGCTAAAGGACAATTGCGATGCAAGGCTCATACAACTGAGCCATCGATGGTTAGTGCTGTCAATTGATCTTGTTTTGGGAGTAATTGAAGTCGTGGAGTCAATAAATAAATCTGTCTATAATGCTTACATACTACTCCCAAGAGTCTTATCGATGGGTCTAGACCCCCCGCGCGCGCTATGTCAACAGCAGGGCTCGCAGCGCGCCAAAAGATGATCCCAGTGGGGCGCACGCGGTCTACGCCACGAACTGCCATTGACACCTAAGGCCCCCAGTCTAAGCCACGTAACTCACTTCCAATCATCGTGATTAATCATCTTTTGGGACTAGTCTCACCCACAAGGTAAATGAAGCATTGTTCTGTTTAGTATTTATCGATTACTGGTGCTTTGTCTCCCCTTTTTCCATTCTCCTTCTGCCTTACTCCCCGCTCTAGCTTCCTCCGGTCGCACGAGCCGCAGGCCTATCATTGGCACTGCGCGCGCGCTGGCGATAGCTATACCAGGCGCTCACCACTTTCTTCCTTCTCTCCCCACAACGCCATGACCTCGCGATCGGCGACGAGAAACACCGCCCAGATCAACGCCGCCCTCCTGGCGTTGCGGCTGAAGCAGCCCACGGGGAAGCTGTCTGAAAAAGACTTCTCCGTCTACGTCACCGACGACGGCTCCACCTTGAACACCACCGAGCGTGCGGTGACGCTGGTGCCGGCGCCGGCGGCGCGGATCCCCGAGGACCACGAGGTGTTTGACGAGGAAGGCCTCCCCCGCCACGCCTTCTTAAAGGACCATTTTTTCAATGAAGGCCGCCTCTCTCCCCAGCAGGTGCTTAAGATCCTCGCCATGGCCACCAAGTGCTTGCTGAAGGAGCCGACGCTTTTGGAGGTGCCGGCTCCCGTGACCATCTGTGGCGACATCCACGGCCAGTACTACGACTTAATGCGGCTATTTGACGTTGGCGGGTCGCCAGAACTGACCCCCTATCTCTTCTTGGGGGATTACGTCGACCGGGGGCTGTTTTCCATCGAGTGCTTATTGTACTTGTACTCCCTCAAATTGAACTTCCCCACGACGTTATGGATGCTTAGAGGTAACCACGAGTGCCGCCACTTGACGGAATACTTTACGTTTAAGTCGGAGTGCTTACACAAGTACTCAGAAGAGGTCTACGAGGCGGCGCTTAAATCGTTCAACGCGTTGCCGTTGACTGCAATCGTCCTCAATCTGAACAGAGAACGCCAATTCTTCTGTGTCCACGGGGGGTTGCTGCCTGACTTGAAGCTGTTGGACGATTTGATGAAGCTTGACCGGTTCCGGGAACCCCCCACCAGAGGGCTCATGTGCGACTTGTTATGGGCTGACCCTTGCGAGGATTACGATGAGGACGAAGGACTGCTGCTTTTCAGCCGTAATACTGTCAGAGGGTGTTCCTACGCGTTCACTTATAAGGCTCTGTGCCAGTTCTTAGAGCGTACGGGTCTCTTACTGATCATCAGAGCCCACGAAGCTCAGGACGCCGGCTACCGCATGTACAAACCGACGAAGACGATGCTGTTCCCGTCGTTGCTCACGATGTTCTCCGCTCCTAATTACTTGGACACTTATAACAATAAGGCCGCCGTGCTTAAATACGAGAACAACGTGATGAATATCCGCCAGTTTAACGCCCTGCCCCACCCGTACTGGTTGCCCAACTTCATGGACGTGTTCACGTGGTCGTTACCGTTTGTGGGTGAGAAGATTACCGATATGATGGTGCTGATTTTGAACATTTGCACCGAGGAAGAACTCGACGAAGATACGCCATTACACGAAGACCGCATCACTACCGATACTCCCGCGGCTACCGAAGCAGCGTCAGCAGGCTTGGCTTCGACTACGGCGTCGTCCGCCGCCGAGCTGGAGGCAGAAATGGAACACAAGCGCACCGTGTTGCGCAACAAGGTGTTGGCGATTGGCCGCATGCTGAGAATGTACAAGATCTTGCGGGAAGAACTGGAACAGGTGGCCCACCTCAAGGAGTTGAACCGGGGCCAGTTGCCCAAGGGGTCGTTGATAAACGGGCTGGAAGGGTTGCGCCACCAGATCTCGCTGTTTGCCGACGCCCGCCAGGCCGACTTGCGCAACGAGGCGTTGCCGCCGCTGGTCGAGGAACAGCGACGGCGCGAGGAGGCCCGGCTGGTCCAGATGCAAGAGCAGTTGGAAAACGACGAGCACGACTCGAAGGAGTTGCGCCTGTTGGTGAGACGGTTGTCGCAAAAGTAGTCCCACGGAACCATTGCATTTTTGTCATTTTGGGGTTACTTTTTTCTATGTTTATGAATCACAGGTCATTTAGCTCGTGTAGGCAATTTTTACGTTTACTTTCATCAGTTGGCACTGCTTAGCTTTTGATCATATTGAAGTCTTGTTCTTGCAACTCTATTAAAAGTAAACTCGCTTTAGTTTTATATTCTTTTGCAAATGCTTCACCGATGTAAGCAAATTAGAACAGAGTTCTATTCAAGAGTCATTTTCAGACTCAGTTTGACCTTTCAATCACCTTCGCAGTTAGAAATCCATGTTTCCAAGCTATGTAAATTGTTCGCCAAGATATGTATTTGAAACAATGAAAATTACTGAATTGCTAGAATATTCGTAATAAACTACGTTGTCAGTAAATTGTCATGAACTCATTGTTTTAGTGTCGTGGGTGCCCCCGTGGGTCTCGGCGGGGTCCGGTGTCAACAGGCAATTCCGCGTGCGATGACACACCCTCCCCATATTTTGGCGTGCCCCGCCCCCATAGTTTGACCGCGGCGCTCGAGTAAGTGTATGTCTCGGGTGGTCCACGAGTTCCCCGACCCCGACCTGAGGGTGCTGTTTGACGATTACCAGCGTCAGGCCCCCGCCCATTTCTATCGTCCTGATGACGACGCCATTCTTTTTGACCACTTTCCCGATGTAACGGTGGCGCTTTCACCTACCTTAAACAGTCAAAGTGAAGCTAACCGATCACTACAGAGTGCCATGAAGTCGAATCCTCGTTCCGCCGACGTATTTGTGCTTAATCACGGTATTACCATCTGGTTTGGAGACATGGGGGTAGAAATCAACTATACCGCCATGGGATTCAGTGGATTGACTGAACTGGGAGTTTTGGTGATACAGGCAGAGCTGGTATCATCACCAAACGGGGCTCTGGAGCCCGTAATGTGGAACTTAAGTGGTAATGACGTTGAGAGGTTATACCACGCTATCGTTCGCTGCTGCCAGCTAGTGGCTACGGAAACCACCGACGACGACCAAGAACTGCTGGGCAGTGGTCCCGGGTGGGCAGTCGAAGGCGACTGGCTGTTTTCCAGTGGCGTGGCCGACGATTTGGACGCTACCACTACAATGAACGATGGCGACGATGCCGCCATGAGTGTCGATGTTGGCTACGCTCTGACTGTTGGGACGAAGCGTCTGATGCGGGAGGAGTTGTCTACTAAGCGATCCAAGACCCAGTGATTCTGTTATAGAGTGATCGTAGATGATATATAGAGTATAGAAATTGATCGCGCTAATTTGATAATAGAACCAGTTCTAGAATCATAGATCAATGAAATAGGCATCTTTAACCTCCGACATCTTATGCTTCTTATAGCAATAGTGGCACTTGAACATATCGACACCCTTCTTCAGTAATTGCCACACTGAATCCTTTAACGCCACGTGCTGGCAGTGATCCAAAACCACCACGGGGTTATCGTGAGGTTGACCATTACCTCCTGCAGCAGCGCTTTCCCCAGTGATCGGTATGAGCTGCTCCTTGGAGATGGGACAGATGAATATGGGGTGGTATCGCCAGAGGAAGCGGGGAGCATCGGAAAGCTGGAACGGAAGGTCGTAAGTATAGGCAGCCACCGTCTCTCCCTTCAGGTTAGTGACAAACTGCGATGAGTCCGGTTCCAGCGGCGTCTTGCCAAGCTTAGTCTGGATCTGGTTATATTTGTAAAACAGCGGCATGTAGACAAACCCAGCAAGCACTGCTTGGAAAAGCAGCGAGTCATCCGAGAGACCAAGCTGTTCACAAAACTCCAGCATAAACTCGTGGGCTAGATTAACAAACACTTCTTCGTAGTCGTGAACTTGTTGAAACCGGTCAAGCAAATCGACGACAAACGTCAGTTCTGGCGACAGATTCAGCAGAAGCCGCACCAAGTGAGATTTGTGGAGATAGGCAAAGAAGTTGGTGGCGTGTTCCCGTTGGTATACGAGTAAAGGCGCCAACATTGCGATCTCATGGAAATACCGCTTAGAGTAGTGAGGGAAATGTCGTTGAGCGTAGGCAGACGCCTCGGCAGCGTTGGCCATCGCCAGTTTGTCTGGTTGGTTGAGTAAAAGCACGTATTGAAGTACGTGGAACTTGAATCCGATACACCACGAGCGATCAGAATTCAGAGAGTATTGAGCGAACCAATCAAGCGCCAGCGCAAGATTGTGATGCTTAGTAATGCTGTCAAGGATATGCTTCAAATCACGGAAACGGGCGAGGGCTTCGTCGTTCACAGGGCCACCACCACCGTCAACTACTTCATCCAATAAATCCTGAACCACTTCACAGTGGCCGTTTTTAAGCAAGTGAAGCACGATTGCTTTGGTCAATTCAAGCTTATTTTCATAGTGGAGTTTCTCTGGAGCCAGCGGTACGAGCAGCAGTTTTGGTGGCGGCTGCGGGTGGTTCGCCATGGGCAATTTGTAGATATAAGCGTCATCAACGTCAGCTTTGAACTTGGGATTGCTCACCACATTCTTATTAAACCGGTTAATTGCTGGATTGTATCGTTTAAGTCCCTGGATACTCAGCTTGTACCATTTGGAGGTGGCGGGGGTAAGATCAGGGGTCGCGGTGGCGTCGGCCTCGAGGACGCTTTCCCAGTGGCGGAGCTCGGCCAAAAGGTCTTCCAGCTCCTGGTAGAGTGATTCGAGGGAGTGCAGTGCCTTGTCGTAGGCATTGATCTCCAGGGTGAGCGTTTCAAGGTGGCTCATGGTGGCGTCCCCGTGACCAGTGTGGGGCTAAGTGCGATAAGCTTGAGGTCGATTAGAGTGACGCCTATACAATGAGGGGAACAATACACGACTTGGGAGATAATAGAGGATTAATGATAGAGTAGATGACCAAAATCAGATGTGTTGGGATCGATTTGAGAGAGGATTGTTTCGGAGGATTTTCTCCCACAACTTGTTAGAGTCGAAGTAACTGCTCCAGTGCGTAGGGGGCGCTTATCAGTAGTGATCTAATGAATGCTAATGCCACACAAATTGATATGTATCAGCTATGACTTTGAAGGCTACATTTTGAAAATCAATCTTTTAGGGCTCCTAAAATATGGTTTTAAATTGAGCTATAAGTCAGAGGTAATGAAGTGGTGATCATCAACGTCTCATTATTATAAACAGAAGTGCATGACTCAACTAGTCTTTGTTGAGAAGGCAACACTCGACTGGTTTGTCCATTTAGTAACTGATATTTCTCTTTCACTTTTGAATTATTCACTTCAAGGTATAGCTGGAAGAGTTAAGCTAGTGAGGATGCAATTGTGCTGGTCTTTATGACCATCCCTAGACCAAATATTGCCTTGTCAGCAAAGTAAGATTACCCAGCATCAAGATAACCATCAGGTATGACAAGAACAAGTACCCCATCGCACACCCATTACGGAGCAATCAAAGCTTAACCACTGCTGAAACGCGTCCGTCGCCAAAGAGTATGAAGATTACAACGTCACCAATGTCATCTGAGCATCACTGTTTGCTTAGACACGTCTTTTTTATCTTAATTCGTCCCGTTTTTCGTTTGTATCGTTAGACTCATCACAACTCCAAGTAGTCGGCTTCAACCAACAAATCAAGCGTCAAATGGGTTGGGATATGAAACTCGGGAACGTCACCGGCATCGACATCCTTATACTTATAGTGGTAGTACATGTAGTTGACGATACACTCCAACACGTCCCACTCCATGTCCAACTCCACTCTCCCCGTGTGCCCTTCTTCAAACCCTTGAGCCAGTCTAATCACGGGCGAGATCTGTGCCACCTCCTTAAGCACCACGTACTTGTTCCCATTCAGCGCCACAAGACTGATATACTCCAGCATGTTTGATATCAGGTTGCTTTGTAGTGTTGAGGCTTCACCAATAGTGGTATCAGTGCGACTACACTATGACGGTGGCCGGGCTGTGGCAGCGGTTGCTGGACGTGTACTACACGTTGGAGCAGTGTTACGACACCATGGCGTGGCTGGTGGAGCTGGATTTGCCTGGTTGTTACAGGATGGCGCTGCTGCCGGAGGCGGTGGCGGTGGCGCTGAAGTACGGCACCTACGTGTCGGTGATCGACGTCTACGGCCACCTGGGCGTCAAATTGACCCTGGTGGTGTATAACCTGACTCCCCTGAGCCATGTGGTGGCGTTTCTGTTGCACCACGACCACTTGGTGGTGGTTTTAAGCTCGGGGAGGTGGCGCTACTATACCGACTTCCACGGCCATTTCAACGAGTACGACTTAGTCAATTCTCGAACCACGCTTACCAGTGACTATATCATTTCAGAAACTAATGAATCAGAGGCGTATATTACCAATTTGGAGAACGGAAGCCACGAACCCGTGGTGGGTGTGTCTAACGCCGCCGTATGGCACGATTGGCTCGTGGTGACGATGGCAGCGGGGATCACGGTGGTACCGCTCCCCACTACTCCGACAAATATGGGAGACCTTCGTCTGTACTGGCTTCGTTTCCCTACTCGCAACCTTGTCCTGTTTACTGGACACGAACACTCAATCTACGCTGCCGTGGGGAAACTGGTAGCTCGAATTGACGTTAATATTGCTGATAACAGCTACGATGTGGTTGATTTTGGCGTTACTGAAGGTCCCTATACGGAAATTGCCGTGAGTCCTAATGGCAATTTGGTGGCGTTATACAGTCGCCAACAGGCGACAGTGCTGGTGGTCAATCACCTGTTTTCTCAAGTACTTCTACAGTATACAGTGGCGGGCGATCATGCGCTGGTATCGCAGATGGCGTGGGTGGGTAATGATGCTCTTGCTTTAGCAATGCGTGATGAAGTGAGAGTGGTGGGACCGCTGCAGCTGCACTTGTCGTTCTTTTACGATACTGTTGACGATGACTTTGACCTTACCAATCTTTTAAATGATCCTACGCTGGCGGATGTCGCGCCCGTGGCCCCCATCGTCCCCCGTTTAGCCACTACTGGTGATGGCGCTTACGTGTACACCTCAGCACAGCTCCAATTCCTTTCTCGTGTAGGTCAACCGATGCTTGACTTATTTGAAGTGGGGCTGTCTCACCCGGGAGCCATTCTACTTGATGGTTTAGAGAAACGTGCCGTTCACCCACTGAAAGCGGATATCAACATTCAGCTTCTTAAACTGGACCCAGGAGCTTTGGTCAAAGCGATTAGAGTGTGTCTTGAAGCAGCTCTAGCTCTGTTTAACGTTGGTCTACAAAAGAAACTTCTCCGAGCCGCTACTTTTGGCAAAATGTATCTCGATCTCGACGACAAGTTTGACTCTGATGAGTACTGCGACGTGGTCAATACTCTTAAGGTTCTCAACCAACTTCGTGCCTCTGACGTTGGCGTGTTCGTCACCTACCTTCAAGCCCAGCAGGACTGGCTCCAGGTGGTGAAGTCGTTGTTATTGCGTGATAAGTATGGAGTGGCACTTCGTGCTTCCGAGCTTATCCCTCACCTCAAATCTTACCGACTGATGATTTACGTTTACTGGTGCTGTGCTAAGATTATGGGATCACCGACTAAATCAGATGATGAGCTTTACCAAGCAATCAAACTGAGACTCGCCGAAGTGTCAACCAATGTCGATGTGGCGGCGATCATCGATACCGCGCATAATGAAGGCCGGCCGCAATTGTGCAAGCAGGTGATTGCGCTTGAACCGCTTATGTCTCGCCGGATCTCGGCCTACCTTCGTTACGATGAAACTGAACACGCGCTTGTAGTGGCGTTGGCCAGTGGTCAAGTGGATATGGCTCAGCTTGTGCTTGTCCATTTGCAGGAAACCTTAGCACCTCTGCGATTTTACAAAGTGCTTGGCCAAACGGAATCATCGCAAACGGTGGAACCGCCGAAAATTTTGGCCAAAGTGCTGGGTGAATTGATTGGTAACTTTTGGGTCAACACCGTGGCAAAAGATAACTCAGGCGATCTTGAGCAATACTACCAGCAACACGATGACTTTAAACAACTAGCCAAACTTCGGTACCAGGCTCGTACCAAAGACTATGATGGCACCAAGTCTGCTTTACGCCAACTCCAGCAAACGCTGCGCCACCTGAAGGCAGTGTTCCAAAGACAAATTGATTTGCTCGATTGCAAACTGCACTTGTGCTCGGTATTCAACACCAACGAGTTTTTGGACAATCCTGACGAGACGCTCGTTGACGTGTTAGTTCGTCTTATCAAAATGAACCAACTCAAACAGGCGCAAAAGGTGGTGAAGCAGTTCAAAATGGCTACCGAGAAGTTCCACCACTTGGTACTCCGCACTTACACCGACACCAAGCAATGGGACCATCTCTACCAGTTTGCCCAAGGGGATAAGCTGCCGATAGGATGGAAGCCGTACATCGATGCTGGTTTAGCAAACCAGGCTCCTTCCAGCCACATCTCCGAGTACATTCGACGGTGGCAGGGCCGGCCCGAGGAAAAGATCGAGATGTATTTACGCAACCGCGACGTATCGGGAGCTGCGGATACTGCGTTTAGGGCCAAGGACGTGGCTAAACTCCGGGAGATGCTCCTGGAGTATCAATTGGACGAGCACCAACAACTCATCCAAGTGTACTTGCAAAAATTGAATGCCTAATAGACTAATATACATCAATCTCGATAACAGTTCGAACTTGGTGCACTTCCCCGTCTGTTTTGATTGTCTGAATGGTTACAGAGCAGTACCCAACCCTTCCCTTCGATCTGCTTCTCCATTTGTTAGGCCCATTACCTCGATTATCATGATATAGATTTCGAGAGAAGATGATCCGTACCATAAATCAGTTTCTTTGTCTGTGATTTAGAAGCAGGTGATGGAGTGGCGGTGGAGACGGTGGAGGTCTTGCGGCTTCGAAACCAGTATGTAGTGAGCACCATCACTAAATCAACGAACAAGCTAACCACGATATACAAACCTCTCAAGTTGACTTCTCAGTTGTACCCCTAATACAAGTCTAACATGCAACAGGTCCAATATCAACAGCTGGTCCGCAGTCACGATTGTATACGTGAGTACAGATTAACATACCCCAGATGACACATGCGATACTCTGCAAGTAAAGAAAGTTTAGTTTTTGAGGGCAACTGCTGGACTTATCGCATAGACTATAAGTTGGTCACTTGCTCCAATGATAACCAGCATTCCATCATGAGCATTTCACCTAGATCCTCCAGCGTCACTGTGGTTGATGATGATGACCTTCCTTCTTCTCCCAAGTATGAGGCACAAATCTTTATGCTTGGCCAGTACTTCCAGCACGGAAATTTGGCTGAAGCCGCTGAAATTGCTGGAGTTCCTGAAGTTATTGCCAAAATAGCTGCTCAAAGAGAAAAATCCCAAACTGATAAAATTCCCATGGAACACGCCGATAGAGAGGCGCTTAAGCGGATCCTTGCGTCGCTCGACGAAGATTCTGTCGACCCTATAGTCGTGGACTTCTTGAGGGCTAACTGTGAGCCTTGGACCCCTGCAAACATCTTTGAGTCTAGCTAGTTCATTTGACTATGTATCTATGAATAAATGAAAAATCCCAAAACCTATGACTATCATGTCCCATTTTTGTCGTTTGTAACACTCTACCTAAAAACCGCCAGCGGCTTTAGTCAAGTTTTATTTTTGCAATTTCAATCGGCCATTTTTAATGTGTCCACCATGATCGCCTTCAACCCCAGTAAGGAAGTCGGGCACATGTTTCGAGTCAAACACGCCAAGATCCGGATCATCAGCAAGCTCATGAAGGCCACCAAACACGTCGGATCCTGTGAACGTCATAACGATACCCAGAGGCTTCAGATTAATAGCATCGTCCATGACAAATTGCACTCTCTGTACCGGCGCTAAGCTATCGTAACGCTCACGTTTGGTGTCGAGGTTAAGGAGACGACGTTTTTGGAGCTGATCACCCGTCATCTCAAACGGGATTTCTGAATTGATAACCCCATCAGCGGTACCGGTATACCGGAGATTATTGGCTCTTTCAAGAGCACTAAGCTGTTTCAATTGAGCATTCGCTTCTCCCAAGTCAAGGCGGTTCAGCTCATGGTCTGGTCGAGTAGCTAACGGGACGGGGTCAACTTTACCATCAGCGTACGCAGTATATGCTCCCATAGCCTGAGCAAACCGCGAGTTGGCGAAATGCACCGTCATCGACTCTAATGAGTCCATTTCCGATACTTGTTCTTCGGGTACGACATTAATGACATCAGCGGAATTTTGAGGAAGACACCGCAGTATCAGCTGGATCACGGTCTTGGTAAGTCCCAGCGGTACTTGTTTGGCGCTGGTGACAAAAATATGGGCAGAATTGGTGGGGATGGCCAAGATGATGCCTCGAGCTCGAGACCGTACTCTCGTAGTGATAAACAACATAATTCTCACTAATGAAAGCGGTAATGCTGGGTGGCGACACAGATAGACGTGGACATCTTGATAGGGAGCAAGATCAATCGCTAATCGCTCGCAAAAGCTTGCCATATGAAGAGGCGCAACATGGGGCTTCCCCTCTCGATTGCGGACAGTATAGCACCTCCACCATAACTGGGTCTCGGCATCGACCACCATTTGACACTCTGCTTGCGCCATTTGTTTCATTGTGAGCCCCTCGGGGAATAGTGTTTTCTCGTGTCCTGAGTACCCCTTGAACTTTTCTGGTAGGCTAAGCCGCCATTTGTTGGCTATAAGCTCACGAGCCAGACCGTAATTAAGCTTGTCGAGGATGGCATCAGCATGGCGGCGATCGGGTAAGCGGTAGTCGTCAGCAAGCCTCATTTGTTGTCAAGATAGAGACGCGGTCGCGTCGATAGTATGGAGTAGGGTTTCTGGGTATGAGCCCGGGGACAACATCACTAGGTTTGTACCTTCTTTAAGTGAGATCAAGCTACTCCATGAAACCAGCATACAATCGATAATTCAGAAAATCCGAATATCACTTTTGATAGCTAATGATGGCATCAACCGGAATAGATCTCCAAAACCTTATAATTCATATTATATGGCCTAGCTCATCGCGGATGGTAGCGCGGGGGCATCGCGCACCATAACCTAGAGAGGCCTCCCCCAGTCGCATAGAAACCTCAGCCATGGCCGAATCATCCACGAACAAGGACGATGGCCTCGATCGCAAGACTCTCTTTGTGCGGCTGATCCCGTTTGAAGCTACTTCTGATGATTTGCAGGAGTACTTCTCCCAATTCTGTCCCGTGAAGCACGCAGTGGTCGTCAATGACGAGAACAAGAAACTGAGAGGTTTCGGGTTTGTGTCGTTCGTTGCTGAAGACGATACGTTGACGGCGCTTGTGGAAGCCAAGAAGACCAAGTTCCAGGACCGGTTCTTGCGGGTGGACATCGCTAAGCGTCGTGATCGTAAACGGGGAGAAGGCGAAGAACCTAAGCCTAAGGCGGCTCCGGTGGAAAAGAGAAAGGCGAGACTCATTGTGAGAAACTTACCGTGGTCGTGTAAGGACGGCTCTATTTTGAAGAAGATATTCTCCAAGTATGGGGCGGTGGCCGATGCCTATATCCCGAGAAAGAGTGGTGGTCAAATGTGTGGTTTCGGGTTTGTGGTGATGAAGAAACAGGCCGCGGCTAACAAGGCAGTCAAGGAAAGCAAGGGGCTTAAAATTGACGGTCGTGAAGTCGCCGTTGACATCGCCTTGGAGAAGTCTAAATGGGAATCTCGTACCGAAGAAGAAATCGCCGCTGATGAAGCTGAAGTCAATGAAGACGATGAGGACGATGAGGACAAGGATGATGAAGATGAAGACATGGAAGATGCTGAAGATAAAGCCAACTCTGATGATGACGATGACGATGAAGACGATGATGATGCATCTGACTCGGAATTCGATGACCTTAACAAAGTCGACCCCAACGCCGAAGAAGAAGAACTTAAACTTGATGATGATGATGACGAAGAAGAGGAAGAACCTGCTCCTCGTAAAAAGGCTAACCGTCAAGAACCGTTCACTATTTTCGTGCGGAATATCCCTTATGATGCTGATGAAGACACACTTAAAGAGCACTTTGAACGGTTCGGTGCCGTCAAATACGCTTTACCTGTAAGAGACCGAGTTACTGGTTTCGCTAAGGGGCTGGCGTTCGTGGCGTTTGTCCATAAGAACGCCTACGAGAAGTGTCTTGACGATGCCCCCTCGCAAGCGCTGACCTCTGTCTTAATCCCCGACGACGTGCTGAGCGACTACGTGTACCAGGGCCGCATTCTTCTGATCACGCTGGCAGTGGACCGCAGTCTGGCTCTGAGGCTTGAAGAACGTAATAGTCAGCGTCGACAAATGGAGATGGGCAAGGCGCCCAAGGAGAAGGATAAGCGGAACTTGTTTTTGCTTAACGAAGGGCGGATCACAGCCAACTCGGCGCTTGCCAAAGTGATCACTGCCGGTGACTTGGCGATCAGAGAACAGCTGTATAAGCTGAGAGTGCAACAACTCAATAAGAACCCGTCGCTCCACATGTCGTTGACTCGTCTTGCCATCCGTAACTTACCGCGACAGATGAACCTGAAGGGGCTTAAGGCGTTAGGGAGAAAAGCCGTGGTGCAGTTTGCCACTGAAGTTAAACAAGAGCTTAGACAGCCGCTTAATAAGGAAGAAGTCAACCGGTCAGTTAAACACAGATACGGTGAGAACGGTGATAAAGAGAAGGAAAAGGAAGCGGCTGAAGCTGAAGAAAAGGATAAGAAGCGTAAGACTAAGAATACCGGGGTGGTGAAGCAAGCCAAGGTGATTATGGAAGTTAAGGGCACCGGTGAACACGGTAGACTGAGAGGGTACGGTTTCGTTGAATTCAGAGACCACAAAGCAGCGCTTATGGGGCTCAGATGGCTCAATGCACATGAAGTCACCAAAGACGAAATCTTAGCTGGTTACGATGAAGAAGAACGTAAAGACATCCAAATCGACGGCAAGTCGCGTCGCTTGATTGTTGAGTTTGCCATTGAAAACTCGCAAGTGATCAAAAAGCGTCACGAGCGGTACCAGGCTCTGAGAGACCCTGAACGTAAACGTCGCCGTGAGGAGAAGCAGGAGGAAGAACAACTGCGGAAGAGACTGAAGCAGGATAAGCGTAAAGGCGGTAAGAAGGGTAACATGAACAAGGGGCCCAAACCGGCTAAAACCACTGAAAAGCCGGAGAAGGACCAGGCGCCCGACCACGTGAAGCGGATCATCGCTCAAAAGCGTCGCCAACGCAAGAATAAGTAGACACTAATTACAGGTTTGAGATATAGGGGGCTTTCAGAAGCTAGTCGTCACACATTAGGAATAGATACATATCCGGGAGTTTAAGTGTACAAAATGCGGTAGATCCAGATCGTTAC